TTATATAAATTTGTTATCGTTTCTACTATACTAGTTGATGCAGACATACGTTGCATGTGAACCATTTGAGTATGAAATATTAGATTTTTGCAGACGTAGATTTCTTCTCCAAAATTCATAATATTAATAAATATCGAATTGGTGAATGATTTAAATTCGACATGTGTTGTGCCCAATAAAATATTAAACTTGGAAATTTTCATATATAATAATTATAATCAATTTAATGATATATAACTGAGAAAAAAAAGAGTTGATGCCACTTGTAAATTCTTGCATCAGATCTCCCAAACTTAATAATCGCTGACCATCATTAGAATTTCTTTCGAACATAAAGAATGCACACTATCTAAAAATTTTAAAATATGGTACAAATACATTTTAGAACCAAGTCACTACATAGGCTTTAAAAAAGCATAACATTCTTTTGTGAGTCAATATTTTGGCTTAAGGGAAATTCCTATGGAAGCAAAATATCAATAATTAGGTTCAAAAATAAATTAAATGTGTATTCATGTGCTCCTCAAATTACTTATCTACATTCAACATTAAGCTAGTCTGATATGTTGTTAGATATTTGCCTCCATGTGTCCACTTCATTTCTCAGCCAATTATTCTTTGTTTAGTGGTTTCTAGCACACATATAATCAATCCGCTATTAATGAATTAAAGAAAATACACATTTTTTTGCAAGACGCTATAGATCAAGTTCCAATGAATTCAAGGGAAATAAAAGATAATGAAATAGTATCCTAGAAAGTTAGTAGTGAAAATATTGAAAGGTGGGTAAATGGAACACAAAAAATATACCAAGCCTCCTCCCTATTGAGTTTAAATAAGTAAAATCAAATAAGACAATTCTAGCCTCAATCTACCTTTTTCATATTATCTCCTGTCCGGTTACATAATAAGATTTTTTCAATAGTTAAAATTCAAAAAATCATTTAAAATTGACTTATTTTTTTTTATTATACAACCGGAAGTAGGTCAATATATAATGCCAACCAACTATCCAATTTGATTGAGAGAGTTATTTTTGTTTGTGAGTTTTGCTTCTTCACTATTTAATTTATGTATAACAATGAGATGGGTTGTGTCCAACTTTTATGATCTAATTGGTACGAGGATAGAGTGTGAGAAAGGGAAAAAAAAAAAAAGGGAAAAGAAAAAATGAGGGATTGTTCCATGAGTAGAAATGAATGATAAGGAAGAGGGATTTCATATTTCGTATTCATTCAATCTTTTTGATTCTATAATAAAGTTTTTAGTAAAATAAAAAGAATAAGGTATCTGATTCTATTTTATATATATGTGTAATGATAAAATTAGTCAATATTCTTTTCTTTCTGTTTATCTATAGGAAAACGAGGGAAATGCAACTTCTTCTTCCCCATAGAATAAGGAAAACTTTTTTTACTTATCGAGAAAAAAAAAAGGGAAGACCCTTTTTCCTTGTTTACTTATTCTAAAAGGATACATCTAACCAAATATGTAATAGATACAATGGTGAAATCAAAGCAACCAAGTTTTAATCTCCCTCTTTTTTTATAGGTGCAATCAAATAAAGGAGAGAATACTTCATCTGGAATGCTTGATGTTCTTAATAAATAAATAAAACTCCTATTGCTCACTCTTAGTGTAAGTACAAGCAGTTATTGACTTGATTCAAGGCCTTTTGTATCATAACCATGGAAAAAATTTGCTCAAATTAGTGTTCTACAATGGCTTTATATGTCACTTGCCCTATTAGCCAGGACAAAATTTTTGTAGTTAGATAAAAAAACTACTATTATTTGTCTTTTATAATAAATACCCGAGGATGATGGAAGAATGAAATTTTCATAGAATTGATTAGAGGACTTTTGTATCATACCATCAAAAACTTAAGCTTGGATTTATGTTATAATATTGTTACGTGTCACTCGCTTTACATTCAGTGTACGTTATTGTATTGATGCAATGATAGTGAAAAAAGAGGGTGTCCTATTGAACAAATAGACATTGGCACAAGTCATATCTTACTCATAATCATATGTTCCGCATAATTTTATCTATAAATAATAGGGATATTTTAAAAATTAAGACTGTAAAGTGGAAAGGCATTGTCCTTCCTTTTGCCTGAGACGACAATGGCTAGTATGATATTTAGTTCAGTGGACAATTCACTAATAGGAACCAGGAGAAAGAGATATAAAGTTTCCATAGAGCCAAAAGCTAAAAAAAAAAAAATTGAAGTGGTGGCTTTGTTCTAAGCTAAGGGATTGAGTCTTGCGGATCCACTTTATTAGTTCAACAATGACAACCTGAAGTTCCTAAATAATCAAACTAACGTAGTTTGAATTCTTGCAGTCCATCAAGACATAAAAAATCGTATATAGTCACGAACACTAAGGTTGTTCTCTCTGCATATTGTAAACTGTGATAGATATTGACCCTTGATGCGCATATTAGGAAAAATGGCTGAATGGAAAATTTGAATCTCAAGTGGAAATGAAGAATTCCAAAGCAAAATTATAAAATCATGAAGGAAGCATGCTGACTAAGCAAATATCAGGCCTCGTCTGCTCGAAAACAGTTGATAATAGATAAAAACTTGGTTTTAGACTCACAATGCAAATCCAACACACAATATCAATGTTAAAAAATTCCCCATTATTAATCAGCTAATATATATACAAACACCACAATGATGCATCCACAACAAATACTGACAAAGAAGTCTATGCCGAACCAAAAAGCACAACCAGCAGTAGGCATTTTGACAAGGAAGTTTAATCTGAGTACCAATCAGTAATTCACCAGATAAATTCCATAACACCATGGTCCAAGGTATCGGCCAAGTCTGATATAACAAGTCGAAGTCGTATCCGACTCGGCCACTCTCGATACGATAACGGTACGCAAAACACAAAAATCACAAATTAAACTAGTGTCGGTGATATCTTGGCAATTTCTCAAACATCTTGGCCGAAATTAGAGAACTCGGTGATAGTTCGATTTAACTCGGGCGATTCATATCGAAATCTTTCCTAGTCGAAGAAGCCAATGAAATAATTTCCCAAAATCTAAGATAAAGAACAAAAATTCAAGACTCACCTCTGTAAAAGCTTAAAATCACTCGATCATTCCAGAAAACTAAACAAAAATCCAAAAAAAAGAGGATAGAAAATAAAACAAGAATCAAAGACCCACTACCAATCGAAACCCATATCCTATATGGCAGAAATCACATGAACTATATAATGTAACTCCTTTTTCAACTATAAAAATTAAAAAGACTAAGGATTCGACATACTTGTAATTCGAACAAAATAGGCACTGCATCTTTTTCAACTGTTTTTCTGTGACGATATTTTTCGATTCTTTGCGGTAACGATCTTCTTCGGTTCTTCTTTCATCGCCGGTGGTTGTGAACGTGAGTGGATCTCTCTCTTTGTCAATGTTGGTTATCTCTCTGTCAGTGAAGGAGTAGTGGTTGTCTTTGTTTGCACCTCTCTCTTTCTCTTCGTGACTGAGAAGATAAAGTCGTCCGAAGACTGAAGGTAAGTCCTAAGTAGGCAAAAAAAAAAATCACTTTAAAAGTTGTGTTCCCCTCTTTTTTTTTTTGACAGAGTGTTTAAATATTTATATTTGTCTTTAAAGTAATATAAAAGTAGTAGGTCAATTGAATAAAGATGCATATTACCATATTGAAAGTCATTGGTTCGATTCCTCCAATAAGCTGTATTGAGTCTTTCATTAATTATTAAAAAAAAATTTACTCTTTCATTAATTATTAAAATCTTTAATCTAATAATTACATACATTATTTGCACTTTGTAATTTGTCGATCACCACCAATTGGTGTTGCGTGTTTCCAACCAATATATTGTTTAGGAACCATTCTACAATGTCACAAATTCTAAATAATTAAATAAATAACATACAATTGATTGGTTTCAAAATTTCAAAAATATGTAGTTCTATTTTTCTTTCTTTTATTTTAGTTTTTTACTTATAAGTTTTTAATAAACAATGTAATATTTATTCAATAAATAAGCAATTTAAATCTTAAAATAATATAATTGTAACATTTAATTTTACATAATTTGAAATAGAATATATATCCACTTATTTATTATTATAAAATTTTAATGTATCTAATTATTACATTATAAGTTATAATTTTTTTTATTATTAAAAAACAATACTCGTAATATTTATTCAATAAATAAGTAATTTCAATATAAAAATAATGTAATTGTAACATTTAATTTTACATAATTCAAAATAGAACATATATCCACTCATTTATTATCATAAAATATTAATGTATCTAATTATTACATTATAAGTTTTAATTTTTTTGATTATTAAAAAATAATACTCGTAATATTTATTCAATAAATAAGTAATTTAAATATAAAATAATATAATTGTATCATTTAATTTTACATAATTTGAAATAGAACATATATTCACGCATTTATTATCATAAAATGTTAATGTATCTAATTATTACATTAAAGTTATAATTTTTTTGATTATTAAAAACAATTCTCATAATATTTATTCAATAAATAAGCAATTTCAATATAAAAATAATGCAATTGAAACATTTAATTTTATATAATTTGAAATAAAACATATATCCACCCATTTATTATTATAAAATATTAATGTATCTAATTATTACATTATAGTTATAATTTTTTTTATTATTAAAAAATAATACTCAAAATATTTATTCAATAAATAAGTAATTTAAATATAAAAATAATATAATTGTAACATTTAATTTTTCATAATTTAAAATAGAACATATATTCACTCATTCATTATTATAAAATATTAATGTATCTAATTATTAGATTAAAGTTTTAATAATAATTGATGAAAGAGTAAAAAAAATTTAATAATTAATGAAAGACTCAAGACAACCAGTTAGAGGAATCAAACAAGTGACTTTCAATATGGTAATATGACTCAATTGACCTACTAATTTTTTATTAGCTTAAAAGACAAATATAAATATTTAAACACTCGGTCAAAAAAAAAAGGCAACACAATTTTTAAAGTGATTTTTTTTTTTCACCTACTTAGTACTTACCTTCGGTCTTCAAACGAAAACTTCATCTTCTTAGTCACGATCAGAGAGAGAGGTGCAGACAGAGACAACCACCACTCCCTCACCAAGAGAGAGAACCAACACCGACAAAGGGAAAAATTCACTCACGTGTACAACCACTGACAATAAAAGAAAAATCGAAGAAGATCGTCACCGCAAACAACCGAAAAATATCGTCACAGAAAAACAGATGAAAAAAATACAGAGTCTATGTAGTTTGATCTACAGGTATGTCAAATCTTTAGTCTTCTTGGTTTTTATAGTTGAAAAGACGAGTTTACATTATGTTCATATGACTTATGTCATATAGGGTTAATTTTCATATAGATTTCACCTAGTAGTGGGACTTCAATTCCTATTTTATTTCTCGTCCTCTTGTTTTTTCTTTTTGTTCAATTTTCTGGAATAATTGAGTGATTTTAAGCTTTTACATGAGTCTTAGATTTTTGTTCTTTATCTTAGATTTGCAAAAATTTTTCACAGGCTTCTTCGACTCAAAAAAATTCCGATATAAATTGCCCGAGTTAAACCAAACTATCATTGAATCCACTGATTTCGGCCGAGACGTACGAGATATCGCCGCAACTAGTTCAATTCGTGATTTCTATGTTTCACGTACTGTTATCATATCGAAAGTGGCCGAGTCGTATTGGCCGATACCTTGAACGATGAATTTCATCCTCAATGGTATTTTTGACGGCTCTAATGTCATCACGAACAGCATCATTTTTTATTTTTTTTTGAACTGGGAACAGCATCATTGATTTGGGCAATTCTGTGGTCATTAGGTCCTGCGCCATTCAATATAGCAATCAGCATTAGCTCACTACTGCATTACACAAGCAATGGAGAAGCAATGGGATAACATACATCCCGTAAGGAAGACTAGAATTGAATGCTCTAGCCAATTAGGAAAATGATTTGACAACATTAACAACTTCTAGCATGTTTACCAAAGCTATGAAAATCATTCGAGATACCTTTTATTAGGATTGTGCAAGAGTGAGGATTCTTCACGTTTTCAACAAATGTATACTTCTCTCCAAGAACATGTTCGTTGACAAGTCCAGCCCAACCAAGGCAGTCAGGAGTTAAGTCATCAACAGAATTAACAGCCTCTCCACCACAAGCCAAAAACCAATCTTTCCATATTTCTCCTCTTTGCTCTTCGAAGGCCAATTATCTACTAAAACAAAAATCACCAAATCAGCAAAAACATAGACTTATCAATGTAAGTCTATTAAAAATGCTGCAAAAAGCGTATGGGAAAATGTGACAAGCACTTATGATCCAAAAGTTTGGAAGGACATTATGATGGCTGTTTCTGTGAGATGGCTTCTTCTTTTTTTTCCTTCTTAAAAGTCCATCCCCTCCTTGTTTTAATTTTTTTCTCTCCCACACATACCTCACAGTTCAAATATGAAAATAAATTTTAATTCTGACTAAATACTTTGCATTATGAAGCAACACAGGCATCCCATATTGCGAAATCACCAAGCACTTCCAAAATCCAAAAGCACTTAACACTTTTAACACTTATGATGCATGTGCGCTAAAGGATCACTTCTATGACAAAAGAAGATAAACAGATTATCCTAGAAATAAAAACGTGTTGGGATTTAATACGCTTTAAACTCACAGACAAACACACACAATCGAAAAATAAACCAAGAACATAAAGAAATAAGAAATAAGACACAAGACACAAAAATTTTACGTGGTTCGATAATTTGCCTACGTCCACGAAACTGCAAAGTTTTCACTATTAAGAGAGAGGATTACAAAGAACGGCTATACACATAAATAAAATCCTAATCACCAAAGTAGCGGTATTTTATATGTCCTACACACCGGGCTACAAAACAGGCCAAAAAAATTTTTCTCAGGGTCGTTGCCCCCGAACCCCCACGAGACTTGTCCATGAGCGCTGCTGCGACTTGGGCCTATCGGCCCAAGCCTTCGCTCTAGAGACCAAACCTCAGAAAATTTTATATTAAAAAACCACGCAACATTACTTCAGGTCGGGTCATCATCTGGATCAACATACAAACTAAACTCCACAACAGCCCAACAAAACGAACTAAATGAAATTGGAGAAAAAGAGAACAATAAACTAAAGATCGCACACATAACAATGGACAATCAAATCAGAAGGAACTTATTATCTAGTATTACAAAAATAATGTTTATAGGAAAATCATAGCTTGAACAGCAGTAAGCAACTATGATAAATGATTAATCACGACAAGGCTTTTGGTTGAGGCAATGCTCTTTCATTCCAGCCTGGCAATAAACATTTGTTCCTTCCCTAATCTTTAATATTTCAGCAACCACTTTCTCTTCTTGCTTGAGCCAAGGAGGAAAGAAAGACAAAGGAAAATGGTTAACACATGTTGATTACACCTAACTGAATATGTAAATATCCACTGGTTGAGTTTTTCTGTAGTAGAGAAAGAAGACAACTTTTTTTAAAAAGGAGGGAGACAATGTTGAGTAGCATTTCTATCTAATATTGAGTAGCATTTCTATCTACTTTGTCTCTATTTAATACCACGTAGAGTGGCTTGTAGAATTGAGGATCCGATGAGGAATTTTCTTTGAGGAGGAGGGTGTGGAATGGAAGAGGGGTCATTTGATTGATTGGGATTTGATTTTTCGCTAGCAATAAAGGTTGGTTAAATGTGGGGAATTTTATCGCCAGAAACATTGCCCTAACATGAAAATGGTCATGGATATTTCCTTTAAAACAAAATTCACTTCAGGCTCAAGTCATAACATGCGAATATGGTGTATAGGATAATGGATGGGATTTTAATGTTGTTAACAAAGGAACATTTCGATGCTCATGCAAATTCATTTCTCAGGTTTTACATTAGTTTTCCAAACTATCAAGTTATGTAATTAATGGGGAGGGAATTCATTTTTGGGAGGACATGTGGTTTGGGTACTCTTCATTTATCCGTTTATACTCGTATCTATTGTTTTCCTGATAGTCGAAATGTTTCAATTGCTCATTTGGCTTTTTCTCTTTCCTCTCCATTTGAATCTCAATTAAGCTAGGAATCTTAATGATAGGGGGATTTTTATTAGTTGTGTTTACTTCCTTCTATTAATGAGGTGTCTCTAAATCCAAAGTGGCATGATAGAAGAAACTAAGTTATAGGGTCATCAGGGTTGTTTTCTTGCAAATCTTTTTCTGAATTCTCCATCTTTAGTTATATCAAAGGCAAAGGTGCCCAATGAAATTCAAGTTTGTCAAGGGCATAGTAGGAAGTATAAGTGAATTATACCACCTTTTACTATATTGCCCAGTCAAATTGGGGTTGTGCTGGATTTTTTCCAATTTGCAGGGTTAATTGGGTAATTCCTACACATTTTGATATTTGTTTGAAGAAACTTTCTAGGCATTTAGAAAGGACAAAAACGCTACCACTTTTCTGAAGTGTCCAATTATAGCTAACTCTTAGATATTCGGTTGGAGAGAAGTGATAGAATATTTGAGGGTATAACTGAGCTAGAGATTGGTTGTGGATGGGTGTTCATTTTCGACATCCATGGTGGTTTCGCGTTTTGGTGACCTAAGATTTGATGATCTTTCGTTTTTCATATTTTGTCTTACTAGCGGTTTGCGGACTGTAGGATTGTTATTTTCATGTGTGTTTTTTTATTTTGACATAAAGGTTGTTAGAGCTTATTTCACATCGATTAAACAGCACCTCATATCGACCTTTACACTTATTGCCAATTGATCTTAGGTTGGATGTTTTATCATAGTATCAAGCAACACTTACAGAGGGTTTGGGCAAGATTCAATTTTGTCGACTTAATGATCGATTCCCCATTTGTTTATGCCGCAGCTACTCTAGTTGTGTTTCTGAAATTGTTTTTTGATTTTTTTTCTTCTCTCCATTTGCAAGCATAGGTCGCACATGTTGGGGAGTGTTAGGAATTGTCCAGTGTTGATAAAATAACACATTGCAAACTAGTATATGATGTGAGCCTCTCCACTGATTGCAAAATTAATTTTTGGGTTGAATGCTTTCACAAGGATCTTTGGTAGGGTGTTTTGTCCTCCAATATATCATTGATTCGTACTCTTTATTCATTATCCTTTCTTTAAAATTTGTTACTTATTGGAAAGTAATAATAAAAACATCCATCTGCAGAGTGGCTTGAATATAATTTTCAACCATAATCTACATACAAACAAATAAACGAAAGAGTGAGGAAACATGACATATCTCTGTGTTACATGCATAATACTCAAAAAGCATAAAGTTAATGTTTCACAAACTTCAGAATGGCTTAAGGTTGCAGACTAAAATAAAGTCATGACTTATGAGCAACAAGAAGAAATGCACTAAAGAGGACTGTAAGACTAGCCATAACTTACCCCTGCCCTAGCAAGAAGGTCTAGCGATGGAGGATCAATCCCCTTTTGATTAATAACAACAAAATTGTTATCATTACCCGAGCAAACCTGCAGACAACCACACATATAACAATGATAACAAATAACTGCCAAAACTAAGCAGACATCTCAACACAGATATTACACATAAATAGTTATGCGTCCTCAATTCAGCGCCTTGTTCTTTAAGTCAATAATCTTTCTGACCTCTCATCAACTGATTGCCTTTCTGCCGCAACCATTGCCTCTCTCTGCTCTGCATTTGAGTAGAAAAAGCCTGCATTTATTTCACTGAAAGGGAACAGTTAAATTTTTTTTCAGAAGGTAAAAGGGAACAGTTACTTAATATTAAGTATACTATAATCATATGCGACCAAGTCCAATGAAAAGTTGTCAAGGTCCATAACAGCATCAAACTTCAAGTTGAAGCTCTTCCAAGGCCGAATACCACGGATGATCAAAATGTCTCAATAAATTATCACAAGCACTGATCTTTACTTACAACTGCTTAAACCATTGGGTGTCATGAATGAAGAATCTTCAATGTATGATGCTATGTCCTATGCAATCCTATCATTCTACCTAAATGGAATACACCATACAGATAGCCTTACAAATTTAGCCAATGTCTTGAATAAAAAAATCTCAAAAATTGATAAAAGGAACCCCTAAAGCCCCCAGAAAGAAAGTCAAAGGTTCTACTTGTGTCTTGTGGCTCAATCAACCTGAATAGTAAAATATTAACCTGGGACATTCGAAGACAGATTCTCAGTAGCAAGTGGTGGAATGTATGTATGACATATACCAATATGAACCTCAAGGGAACAAAGTCAACATTACGTTATATTTATCTATTTCTAACCTAACAAAATATAATCTTGTTTACCTTTTCTCATACTCCAGTGATACACTGCAAGTCAAGATGTAACAGTTCTCTGCCTGTCGCTTCATATCCGGATGTCTTGAACCATGATCAAGGACGAGACCCTCAACCTACAAACAACAGAAGTATAGCATGAGAGAGAAAGAAAGATCACAAGGGTCATGAAATTGTAACTCATTGAATATCTCTTTCTCGGCACACACATCATGGACCTAGGCATGCATGCCACACATGCAAGTACACGCAACAACAAATCTAACACAAGATTGGGCAGATAGGCTTTTCCTATATCAGCTACGCGGCAAGCAAATTGCAGAGAAGGGTTGACTGTCAGCTGAAAACTGCCAAAGATAACTTTCAATGAAAAAAGGTAGATGCTTGCCAACAAATTCGTAAACTTTCTCTTGAAAATCCTACTAGCTATCGAAGGAGGATAGGAAAATTAAAGAATCATATAATTGTCAGTTATACTCAAGAGTCCAGGCATCTCTCAGAGTCTGAGGCAATACCACTACCTAATAATACTTTATTTCTTGGAAACCACACGTTCCAAGAAAAAGGCATGGTTTCAATTGAGAATTAGCCTACATTTCTGGCAGGTGCTCAGAAGGTTGTAGTTTGAATAACTAAGACAACTCTAAAAATTTCCAAAAATTTATCAGCTCTTAAAACATTTTCTCCATCAATTCGTTTCCAGATTCGCATAAGACTTGCGCAAAGTGTGCTTAACTAAAGTATTATACTCTACAATATCACAATTTAACCCCACACCCCACACCCCACACCCCCCCCCCAACAAAAGCAGGAAACTCAAAGATCCAAAACCATGAGCAAGGAGTTTGTGTAAGAACAAGTATTCTTCCTAAACACATGGCCCTTTCATTTCACATGTGTGTTTCAATGGGAAGTAATGGAATAAGAATACAGAGATAGCACCCCAAAAAATCCAGACCTTCACGACTCACAAAATCTCTCATCTCTGATTTTCTCTTTGATAACCAATGCTGGGGAGATCACTATTCACAAAGGCACACCATCTAACTAGAGCAAATGGTTGTTAATAATCTTCTTCCCTCTCTCTCTTAGCCTAATCTGTAAACAAACTACAAAGAAATTTGTCAAGAAACTCAATTCTACCAAACACTAAGGAACCTTGAAAATAAACACACAAGACAAGAAAAGAAAGTAGGGACAAGCATAATTAAACCGATGGAAACAACAGCAGGATGTACACTCGCTACTAATTCAAATGTTTCATGCAATGAGTAACAGACAATCAAATAATCTTACATGATACCGCTACTTGAAATTATGATTTTGGCTGGATACAAATATGAGTATTCATGGAATCTTGCAAACCTAAAAGTCAAATTCAAATAACTACTCGATACTCACCTGAGAAAATAAAGAAACGCAAATGAAAATTATACAAAATATGTTCACATACCAGGCGCGTATCAAAATTGAACTTGTGGCGCATGTGCATAATCTCAACCATGAACAAATCAATTGCTTCTTCAGGCTTGCGAATACAGAGAACCTGTCATATTCATTATGCAAGCATAGATAATTGCAAGTGAAAATGGGAAAAAGACAACCAATACTGTTAACAAAACATGCCAAGCAAGCTTTGTAGAATGTAGAAACAAGTAGATACACAATATAAGCAACTGAACAAGACAATTTCAGCTGTACAAATTTCTTTTCAAATTGAATTGAACTATTTATATCAGACTTCAACTTTTGCATCTACAGTATTCGGAGCACTGACCGCATTTATAACTATGTCAGTCAACTGATCAGCCAATGCTTCATACAACTGCAGACATAAAAGAAAACTGTTATCAGATACCACATACAGAATATCGGAAAACTTATTTAAAGATTAAACATATGAGAAAGTCCATAACCTTTGTTCTTAATGTTGTTCTTGCTACCATTTTAAGTTTTTCTTTGTCAGGTTCATCACCCATCACAACAGGAGTCTTAAACTTCTCGAGGAATTGGAGCGTTTCTCTTTTGGCAATTTCAAAACCATCAACTAAAACTCGTGGATGCATCCCTGCATAGAGGGGGAAAAGTTTTTTCAATGAATGAATTTATCAAATGCAGGGAAGGAAAGACATCAACACATTTGGCATAAATGAATAGCAGATAGTTCTTCAATTAACAAACTATGTTGGTAGCAAACATATTTGCAATGACACGATGACAAGACGTATGCCACATAGCCCATGTGTCATATATGCTTAAATACAGAGGTGGTCAAACTTAAAACACATCTGATAAAATGGTCGTATATTCATTTATTTCAGTATAAAGGAAAAGAAACATATCAACCCCCAAAGAAAATAAAATGAAAGGGCAACTAAAATCTGTGCCAAACAACATTGATTCAATGTAGCATAACATTTGACAGAAAACCAAACAGAAACTAAATCACCCACAAATTATGGGCTATATTACGCTTATAAACATCTGCTAGTGAAGATCAAAGGACAGTTACAAAACAACTCTTTAAAAGGTAATATTTAATTGAACAAAGTAAGCTATTGAGAATGAAAAGCCTTCATCAATATAGCATTCTGATTGTTTCATGAGCTCGCCAATAAAGAAAACGATTGAAGTGGTACCATCCCCACTTATATCATCTTGAGCAACAGCAGTCCTTGCAATCATAATTGCAGTTGGGTTTTGAATTTGCTGCAACCATAAAAAAGATGCCAATTCTTGGTACACTAAGAAGAAGATTCACTAGAATAAGAGAAACAACTGCAGCAAAAGCAAATATGCCAAATACAATAGGCAGGTAGTTTTTCCTCAGAGCATAAAATACAAAGCCTCATCCCATCAGCAATATGAACTATGTCTTGCCATTTTTCTCTCTCTACGGCGATGTCATCTATTAAACTGCAAGCTACTATTTTCTCGGTCACCATGGCTAAACAAGTTAATTGAAATTCCAGGAACTATTGTTCCTCACATGATAACCCATTCGAATCGAGAATACATTTTTTCATACTCAGTAGCAATCGCTAATATATTCTCTATGCAAATAACTCCATGATTATTGCCAGCTCAATATTTTCATAACTGCAGTGAAAGAAGAGTTGTGCAGATACAAACACTTTACACTAGTGCATCACACCAACGGTCCACAAACAAAATGTAATTCAAATTGTAACCGCTAGAAATAACTATCCACGCAATAGAAAATCTGAAGTTCGAGAAAGTGAACTAACCATCTCTTTCAACAGAGTGTTGCCATCCTTAGTGAGTTTAATATCACCAGCTCCACCAACAAGCCTATAAAATGAGAAAAAAATAATTAAGGACCATAAAATTACAACAGAAAATGAAAAACAATATGGCACACACATCTTGATGGTGCCTTTGGGTCCGAGGTTGCTCTTAAGAACGTCTTGCAAACCCTTGGCCGCATTAATGTTCATGTGAAGAGCAGCCGATTTGTTGAGTACTTCCGCATTCGGATTCAGAACTCTCACCGACATCTTCGATTCTGTAATGCACCATCATTTCTCAGATTACACATACTCAAACAGAACATTTACGTAATAAATATATACGTATTGAGAGAGAAACGCAGAGGGATTACATGAAGGAATCAAACGGAGAGTATGTCGAAGGGGAGAGAGAGCTCGATGGTGAGAAGATCGAGCTTGTAAGAGAGAACTTTGCTGAGAGAGAGAGAGAGAGTAGTCTTTGGACTGAGCGGTGCCTTTGGGGTTTTCTGTTTGGGTTTTTCGTATGTGCATATCGTTTGCAATCTTCTGAATTTGGGGGACGCGTGCACATATTGCAGCACTGCTTAAAGTGGAGCTATTATTTTACACCTTCTTTAAAATAAGATTAGGTAGTGGCACGGGTGATTTTTGGGCGATTATAAACAAAACTTGGATGACCGGATTTAAGATTCCAGAAATAAGGAATGAGCTTAAGAAAAGGCCGGGCGTAGATTTGGTGAGATCTAACTATTTGCGCCATTCATATTTTGAGAAATGATGACGTGGAGTGTAAAAGGCTACATCAAACCGGCTGATCTAACACTCGTAAAGATGATGTTAGTGGCTACCCCTGCCCTCGAGCTGCACATTTATTAGGCCTAGAGAAGTCGGTGGTCCCTCGGGATCAAATGCTACAATTATTTTGCTCGGAAGACCAATCATTTAATGAGTCTTCTATAGACATTCAATGGTTTACGTCAGGCATTTAATGAGTTGTGTCGGTCATTTAAATGGTGAACATTGAGTATTAAACTAAGGCATATTGAGACACCTGTCGACTGGTCCACGTAAGCAAGGGTCGTACATTTAGCTAGCATTCGCGAGATTGGGTGAAGGTCTCCATGTGGAGATGAGAGCATGGTAAATCATTTCTTGGTACCTTCATGATAGTGGGGCCTCATGTTGAATCACCATTCCTTTTCGAGCCTTGAGGCCAAAATGTCCCTCAGGGATCCTGCAAGTAACCCCAAGGGAGTTTGAGAGGGCTTGGTCTGACGGGTCTGCCTCGGTAGGGGGGTTGAGTATTCCCAATGGGATCCATCCCTATCCTTTTGTTCTTCAGTGACTGGTGTGTCGATCTATGCCCCTTCACTAGTAACACACTGTGCATTATATAGCTAAGTGTCAATACGAAATATATGTAATTATTCTCACAATTAATTTAAGATCAAGCTAAGCCCAAAAATATTGCGTGCAACTGACAGATTATGCATTTGGCAACCAATTACATGTGTTGGGTATTGTATGTGTGGGAATCCCACATCGGATAGAAAAATAAATTAAAGTGTTATATTGAGCTCATCACTTATAGGCTTAAACTTTTAGGTGGATATGAGTTCTAGATATGTATATTGGATCTTAGATCAATGGGCTCCCTAGTTTCCCAAAAAAATGGTATCAAAAGCCAATGGCTAGGTGAACTCTCAAAGAACCAATATAGTGTGTTGGTATTAATGATGACTCTTAAGAAAAGTGAGTGGCTCTCGAAAAAAAGAGCAAGGTGTGGGCTTGGGCGCAAGAGCTCTTGGTAGAGTGGTCATGTGGTGACTCATAAAAGAGCAATAAAAACTTAGTTCTTAGAAGAGCGAGCTCTTGTAAAGAATGATTGGATGTGGTGCTTGTAGAGAATGGTGGATTAGACTCAAAGGGGAGCTACGTCCGATGTGGTTCACATGTGAGGGAGAGATTGTTGGGTATTGTATGTGTGGAAAGTCCACATCGGGTTAAAAAATAGTGAAAATTGGGGATACATCATATTAAGAGGACTTTTAATGAGTTTAGTTTGTCACTCAAAACTTATTTGGAGATAAGTCTTATTTACATATTACTAATAAGTAATTAAGTCCACAATTTTTTTAAAACTCTAAAATACCATTCCTTAAAAGCACCGTTAAATTAATTTCCTATCTTCAAAATTGTTGTCCCTTAATTTAATGTCAATAGATATATACCAATAAAATTTTCATCATAAATTTGAAATTCAAATTCAAAGAACCTAGTTAGGCTATTCTTCTCTCTCCTTTCTCCTAACGTATGACTAGTGCAAAAAGGAAGAAGATTAAGAGGCATTATTCAAAAACTAATGTCAAATGAATTTCTCATCCATGGCAGCACCAGTACCCTTTTCTTTTATTTTCCTTCTCCTTCTTTTTGCTTCTTTTTTGATCCATACATTCTCTTCTTCAACATTCTCAATTCACTAGCTATCTATTTTTTAGTAGGTGTATATAAACACACACACACTCTCATAGCGACAGAGAGAGGTGGCTACCACCGTAAATAGTAGAGAAGAAGAAGGTTATTACAAATCAAGATAGTCAGTATAATTTTTTTTCCATGTTATTATTTTTTTTATTGAGCATGTTACTATTTTTTGTTTGTATGTTACAATTTTTTATTTGCATATTACTTTTTTTTTTTGTATTTGAATGTTACTATTTGTGGCCACCCAATTCTCGGAGGTCCTTAATGCCCAATAAGCCCCATTAATTATCCTAAAGGCATGGTCCTAGTGAACCAATTCTAACGAATTTTTCAGCGAAATCTCCTTTATATGTGGAGTTCTATCTAAAACACAACCTAAGTCAATAACAATTTCTATTGACCTTCTAATTTCTAACATACACATCTAATTCAATCTATGCATTAGACAACAATAACAAGTTCAAATATAAACCATTCATTTAAACAAAAAAAGAGTTTACATTAAATCCCCTTATACAAGGCTTTACAAAAGACTATACAATTTCGTATGACCCAAAATACTACAAGGCTACCAATACAATTGGGACCTAACATCTATACATCCAAGATAAGAGCCCGAGCTCTGACTCCATCATCAAAGTGGACCCATGGGAGGCCCATCTGTGAAAGCATGTGTAGTACCTACAAAATATTCCCACAATGGGGTGAGCCTAAACCTGGTAGGTATCTTCTATAGAAAATATTTCTCAACTCAAATGCATATATGATATGATGTACCTACAACTCAACAATCACATATATGCAACAAGTAACATAAAAGAATGTTACTAAACCTATCAAGTCATGAATGATGTTTCATGAATGCATGTTCGACGCTGAATCCACTCCCAGGTTCCCATACATACCCATGATGTAATGCCATATCATGAACTGGACAATTCCAAGTTGTTGCCATTGAGTTATACATGCCCAATGACAATTTAAATTATTATCTTGTCTTTAGAGTGGGTAATTAATGGCCTTTCACCAATTGGCTACCAAACTGTTAACGGATCTCAAGGATATCCTACCTCCGACTCTGTTTTTGCCGAAACACTTTTATGGACTAGTTATACCACCAAATAATGTGTGATCGAATAAACCGGGTCTTATACTTGAGGGAGAATCTAACCTTTCTTACTATGCCTCAACATATTTCTATGTAATTTTCCATGAGACTCAATTGGACCTTGATCCAATCTTTTCAAGTTTCACCCATCACTCACCTATGTGGTAAAGTGATTTATCCATGCACAACACTCACAACCATGTCAAATGTCTTGTGAATGTGATGTTTAACCCATGCATGGGCAATGTATGTACAATTTTATTTCAATTGAAAACACAATATCAATTATAGCATTAAAGTATATAAGAGCATTCTAGCATATCACCCAACATATGTCATATACATTGATTAACTCAAATAACATGCTTGAATACATTTAGGCATTTTATCAAACGATGCATAATTGTAAATACCTAGCATACCCATCATAATATATATATACAAAATATGTTCAACAACTCAACTCAAGTAAAAATTAGGCAACATACTCACAGGTTCCAATTAACTCACTAGCTACATTAGTTACAAGCTAATCATGTGATTAACATACACTTACTCAACCCTATCTCATATGCAAACCCTAGATTGAAAGGAAATCTAAATAGAAGGAAACTCCCACCTCTTAAAGAGTGAGTAAAGAAGAGAAATCCTTAAGAATAGCCCAAATAAGCCTTCTCTAAGTTTAGGCAAAAGCCCTAGACCCAAAATTTGGGGAAAAAGGTCATTGTTGGTGTTAGCGCGTAACCCTCGTTGGGTAAAACAACTCTTGTTCTTAGTGTTTAATAATCTAATGGTTGGGTCTTGAAAGATTTGAGGAAGAAAGAAGAAGAATATGAAGTCTTGGAGGCTTTTTATATCTCCCTCTCTCAAACAATTTCAGCCAAGTAAATGGGTGGAAGACTTTGGTCTTTCACCCTTTTTTACTCCATTTTTATACTTAGTGGATGAGGTGTTGTATATCATGTTCCTATTGGTTATAAATCTCTCATGCCCAATCAAAATGCGCTATGTGTCACATTGAATAAGATTTGTTGGATGGTCTTTTAATTATTTTATGAGTCCTCTAAATACATCCCAATTGATGAAATTTTAATCGTGTATCTCCGGTTTACCTCGTAATGCATGAAAATCTCGACTGTCTCATAATTCAATGAAAATTAAATGTCCAACTCGATTTCTCAAGACAAATCCAATGATGAGGTCAATTTCATCATCTGAATTACGTACAAATTTAGGTTTGTAACCTTACTTGAACGGCCTAATTATCATATTACCTCTTTATTAATTTTTTAATTTTTTAATTTTTACATTCTTCCCCTCTTAAAAGAATTTCATCCTCAAACTTACGAAGATATGAAATACATAAAATGAATGCACATGTAATTGTGTTGTATGAAACTAGTTTGAAAAGTAAATTGTACATCTATCTTCAACTAGTTTGAAAATTAAATTGTACCTCTATCTTCGAATAAAAATTGATAAGTAGCTCCTATAGTGTCCTCGTGTTCTCATGTAGCCTCCTCAATATCCTGATGCTGCCACAACACCTTAACTAGTCTCAAAGTCTTACCCCACAAAACTTGATTTCGGCTAATCAAAATACAAACTGGTCCCTCCTCGAAGGTACCATCCGCATCAACTACCAGTTCACCTCAATCCACCACATGGGTAGGAT